TTCCTTAAGAATCATATACATATGCCAAGGATCAAGTATGTTTCTCAAAAGACCTCACACATGTTCCGAAAAATACATATATGTCCCGAAGGACCGCGTAGACCCTCGACTCTTGGCATGCCAACTATACCTCTAGCTCTCATGACACATAACATGGGCATTAATCTTTATGTTATCACACATTCACATATACACATAGTCTTTTTATTACATTTTTATAAGATCACACGTAGTCAAGTAGTTCATTTCCATATAAATCACACATACACGTAGATCACTTGCACGTAGAACATCTTTATATAATCATATGATTCACTTTCACTTATCACATATACTTTTTCTTTCATATATCTCATGGCATATATCACATGGCTCTTTATTTCATTCTCATATGATCACATAATCATGTAGTTCCCTTCTCCTATCACTTTGCATGGTTTTACATAAACATATATCATACCTTATTCATATATATATCTGCAAATACATGTAAGCCCATATTTTCTTAACTTATAACTTACGTTACATATGCATGTAATCTTATGACTTATTGTTAAATAACTCAAATAACATTGTATTATTACATACTTTGTTCCATAACCATATATTTACATACCTTATACTTACCTAGTTTACTCTATTTCACACATAGTCACATAATCACGTAATTTACTTACACATAGATCATTTTTATACCTAAATCATATAACACCCAATTCTTCCTCATAAAGTTATATTTTATATTCATATAATATCATATTATCCTATAAGTAAATACTTATCTTATGGTTTGGTATCATCATTCATACTCAATTCCCTTCACTAATATATTATTCTCATATTACTCTATAGTCTAATCTTATTTAACTCATCACCTTTCTCATGTAGTCATATAAATCTATTATATTGATTCTTATAATTGATCATGTATACTATTAACATGTATGGTCACCTATCATATAACCTATTTCACATTCACATTCAATCATATAAACCATTCATATTAATTCCTATACTTATCACAATACATGTATTCACACAATCATTTAACACATATTGTAATATATATCACATATACCCAAATCAAACATATGCCTATGATCATAAATTAATGCATTCTAATATAGGAAATAGACTCGTCGCAAGTCTTATTTCCATTAAACATCATAAACTAACTTGTATGCACTCACCTGAGCCTCACTAAGTTCCAATCCACTTTTATGCTTTCATCTCTTTCGATTGAATCTTGACTTGATAATCGTTACGGGACTTGTTCGTGCTCGATATCTATATGATCATACATTGATACATATCATTATCCAATTGATATACTCCAATCTATCATTTCGTAGACCAAAAGAAAGGTATAATTATTTCCCTTGAAGTGCATCGATGCATAAATTGCATTCGATGTTTCCATTTTTAAGGGTGCATCGATGCGCTTCCTGTGCATCGATACACACTGAACAATTTCTGGAAATTTACCCTTGATGCATCGGTGCACCTTGAATGTGCATCGATGCACATAGCCCAGAAATCTAATTTATGCCCGAAAATCCCCTCTTTTCAACTTAATTACTTCATATATCATTCCATTTCATATTCTTAACTTACTTACTCCTATTCAAACTCATTTATCTCGTCTTGAACCTTAATATTCTCTCCTCTTTATTAACTTCAAGAATTATACCAGATTTCCAACATGTTTCAAAACTCATTTTATCACTTCATATCTCTTAATTTAACCCTTGACAAGTCAAATTTATCTTCCAATTTGAGTAATGAACTCTATTTCAAGATTTCGCCCAAGAACCCCAAATCTTTAATCCCTCCTAACTCCATCATACTTTGATTTTAAGATAACTTAAGCTTTCCTTAAGCTTAGTTATCATCTAATAATCAAAACCTAACCTTAAAATCAGCAATTAATCCATAAACAAAGAAACTCACCTTTGAGCTTGGAGATACGGGAGGAGGAAGAAGAAGAAAGAAAACTCTGGATAATTCTCCTTTTCCACGTGGTTCCATATCTTATAAAAGAAATATAAAAATCTTACTTGCCAATTGACCATTTTACCCTTTAATTCATTCCATAATTACTAAATAACCTTCATCATATTTCTAATAAATCATTGAACTATTCAATTATCCTACTTTAATCACCAATTTCTAAAACTTTACAATTTGGTCACTAACCCGGTATTGAGGATGTTACAGTATTTAGGCCCAAAGTAAGGATGATCCAGAATAACAATCTCTTGAGTGAGGTCATGGAAGTCTTTCATATTAGATGTGTAGTAATGGCCTAACAGTTCATGATCAGAGCTTTCAAGTGAATGAAGAAAAATGTTGAAATCCCCTCCTAGAACCCATGGGGTCTGATTAACAGTAGAATTAACCTCCTTAAGATTGAGCCAAAGTTGCCTTCGAGATATTCCATCATTGCTTCCGTAGATGGCAGAAATAAACACTGGATTATCGAGGTAAAACCCTTTAGCAGTAATACATTGTGCAAATACTTGGATAATTGACAAGTCAATTCCCTTCCTCCAAAGCAACCAGATTCTGCCATTAATGGCATGGTCATAGTTACAGCAAACATTCCAGTTTGGAAACTTAGTGTTGAGAATAGCCTCTGACTTATCCACTTTAACTCTAGTTTCCAGTAAGCAAAGAACATCTACTTTATTAAGCATGGCTCTATTAGCCACTTTATTCTGTCTTGGAGGACTGTTAAGTCCCCTTATATTCCAAAAACAGATTATCATTTGGATGGTGATTCCAATGAACACCCTTGACTTCCACCTGAGTGGCTTTTAGCTCTATCAATTTGGTCTTTCTTTCTTGATTTTAGTTCTTTTACCAAATTAGCAACTCCCAGAGAAGCTACTCTAGGTTTCCTTGGTTGATTTCCAACAATTGAATCTTCAGTAGAATTCAGAACTTTAAATAAAAATTTAGTCATAACAATATAAACCAACTTTTTTTGGGTGAATTATGGTATCCTTTGTCTACCTGTTGAATGATTTAAACAGACACTAATTTCACCGAGTCGGATAAGATCACAAAAACAACAAAACTCCCTCATCAAATATTTATTATTATTGCATTTGACAAGTCAACCACAAAATATAATTTTAATATTTTAAATAAATAAAATAACTTCAACATAAATACAACGGAAAAAACTAATAACATTACATCATTTTATGAACACATTAAAAAACACGCAATGTTCATAATAACCATGCATATTACAAACTCAAAATATTCATTAATTGTACGACTTAAGTAATAACCTAATACCAAAAATACCCCTTAAATCTAGAATTGCATTGCTTATTTGCGCACAATGTATATGCATAGATGATGCATACCTATATATAGATTTAAGTCAATCATGCCCGTTAAGCTTTCAAGGTTCAACCTGATACGACTAATTAACTTATAATAAGAAAAGTCTGGGAGATATGATTGGCTATTTGATTGTAGATACCCACAATATAGATGCAATTTTTCAACGTATGGGTGCCATTCTGTACCAACAACTCCACAACTATTGGGACCAGCGCAAGGTTTTTCGGTCGAGCATCGGCGTCACATCCCCGCCTCCCTGTTCAGTGTCCACCCACACTTATCTTTTTTTTTTCTTCCATAAATAGTTGTGTATGAGTAGTAACAGACTCGTAAATTATTTTAGAGGTGAATTCTATATGTAATAATTTATATTATAAATCTAAGATATAAAATTAAAAAAATTTGAGAAATAAAATAAAATTACCAATAAAATTTTTAAAAAGCAATCGCTTCCACTTGTCGCCTCAATCTATCACGAATTATATAGCTATTATCTTCAAAGGTGGACCGTTGAGAAGGCGGAAGTAACTTCAAGTTAAGATTAAAAAGTGACGATGAAGCTTTAACTTACACCAACAGTAAAACGTCGGGCTTAGCATTCGAAAGATTTCAGACAACGCACAAAAACACCCAACATCCCTCTTGTGCAGAACTTGCCCGAATTTGTGTCGGTCTTTTCACCGGATGGTCCGCGTAGTTATAAAAAACAAAATGTTACAAAGGAAAAATAGAAGCGTTGTGCGTCGGTGGAAGTTTTGAAAAGGACAAGTTTGTGGATAACGGCAGCGTAGCTCTTATGTCCCACATGGAAGAACATGCGCTTCCATTTCAACCCCACACTCGGACACAGTCTTTACGCCACCAAATACCTCTACTTACAGTATTCAATATTCTTGGCTAATTATGTACCCATAGTCATTTTCAATTAACCACCGTCTCCTTTTACTTTTATTACTTTTACTTAACCGGTGTATTGGTAAACATTTAACGATTCAAAAATAACTTTAAAGCAAATAATAGGTTGCTATATTACATTTGGGTAAAATACACCCTAGCTCACTCAATTATAAGTATAGTTACAAACAAGTCACTTTTTTAAAAGGTTATAATTTACTCACTCAATTAAAATATTATTACAAATATGTCAATGGTTGTTAAATTTTATATGGAATAGTAATGGGGTATGATATAATAATAATTTCACTTCTAAAAAATTATACATTCTGTCAATTTGATCCTAATAGAATATGAAAGATTAAATTTATTATATTATTTTAAATTAGGATAAAAATAATTGAATGTATAAATTTTGATGACTAAAAAATTTTTATAATAGATCACATTAGATGTATGTTTCGATTTTAATAACGAAGTAATATGTTTGCAACGATATTTTAATCGAGCGAGTAAATTATAACTTTTAGAAGAAGAAAAAAGTGACCCATTTGTAACCAAACTAATAATTGAGTGAGCATGAGGTGTATTTTACCCATAACATTTATATTGTAAATTGTAAGTGAGAAATGAAACAAGTAGAAGACAAAAGTAGAAAAAAATTCCCGCGCGTGAATCTCGCTATCTCATCCCCACCACCCGTACCCATACCAAACCTCCCCTTGTTTCCTATAAGAGATAAAACTTCTTTCCGATTCTTCTCTTCACCCATCCCTTCTATATACTCTGCAACTCTCTTTTTTATCATTCAAAGCTCCTGGTTGGATTCTCTACATTTCCAGTTTCATTCTAACAATTCAGATCTCTGCACCAATCAATCATCGGGCTGATAAGGTTCGTGTTTATCTTCAATTTTTATCCAATTCAAGGATCTTTAGAGTTTAGATTCTTTTCTTGTTGATCTTTGTTCAAATTCCGTCAATTCATCCCAATTTTGGATGCACATTCTTGTTCGTTTCTTTCTTCTTTGCCTGATTTCGTGATTCTATATCAGAGCCATGTCTGAACCCCCAGTGAAACCGGTTCTCCAAAAGCCTCCCGGATACAAAAACCCAAACGCCCCGGCCGGTCCCCGTGGGTTTAGACCACCGCCACGGAAACCGATTCTCCCGCCATCTTTTCATCCCAAGAAAAGAAAGACTAATTATGGTCGTGCTTGTTGTTGTTTTTTCTGCATCTTCTTTTTGATCTTCCTTCTCCTCATTATCATTTCCGCCGCCGCTTTCTACCTCTGGTTCGACCCGAAACTACCCGGATTCCACGTCCAATCGTTCCGGATCTCCCGATTTAACGTCACCAAAAGACCCGACGGAACCTACCTCGATGCCAAAACGACGACGAGACTCGAAGTGAAGAACCCAAATGGAAAGATGACTTTCTATTACGGGAACACGGAGGTTGATGTCACCGTGGGGGAAGGTGGGTACGAGACCGATTTGGGAACGACGAAGGTGCCGGAGTTCATTATGCGGAAAAAGAGCACGAGGAGTTTGAGGGTAGAAACAAAGGTGAGTAACAAGCTAGTGGTCGACGAGGTTGGGAACAAGCTCAAGGTTCGGTACCGAAGCAAAAGTTTAAAGGTGAACGTGGAGGCTCGGACGAAAGTTGGAGTGGGCGTGGCAGGGTTGAAGATCGGCATGGTCGGGGTGACCGTTAAGTGCGACGGGATGTCCAAGAAACAACTTGACGGCGGTGACATGCCCAAATGCGTGATCAACACGTTAAAATGGTAAGACAAACAAATACTAGGCTTGTTTTTTTGCATGGTGGATGAGAATGTGTTCCCTTTGGGTTATTATTCTGTCATTTTTGTCATCAAGTTTCCTTTGATTCCCCAAATGATTAGATCTGTGTTCCAATGTATGTGGTTGCAGGCTTAACATTCACTGAAACAGATCGGATGGTAAAAAGGACTGGTTGATTTGATGGATTGGGACATTTTGTATCCACATTGGATTGGAGCAGTTAGGTTCGGCTTTCATTTTTCTTTACATATAATAAATAATTACTATTTATTCACACATTACATTATACTTGTGGAAAATCAAAGGGGGGAGATACCATTCCCACGTCAAAGAGTCATCCATCGTCCATAATATATCACATGGTAAGAGCCATAACGTGTCTGGGACTTTATCTTATTGTATCTGTATTAATTATTTGATTATTGGTGGTTGTTTCTTTTACTATTTTAGAGAACAAACAGAGAGATTAAATTAAGGTGGTGTGGGTCTTTAAGGAAAATAAGATGTCATGTTGAGATGAAAGTCGATATTAAAATGACTCTGGTGTATATGACTGTCTCGTAAAGTAAGGATAAAGCATAGAAAGATATAGGGTATCTGCTTTGTGTCTTAGAGAAAATGATTGCCATTTTTCTTCTTCAATTAATGGATATTGCATTCAAATTCATGGTATTTTCTATCTCATTTCACATCGACAGTCCAAGGATGCTCTTATGTAATACTGCATTGGGTATTTTTTGTATATATTTTTTTATTAATATGGTAAAAAATAATAAAGTAATTAAAATTGACATTTCAATAAGAAAAAATAATTGATATCAATTTAATAGTTCATTATTGTTTTATTATATTTAACCAATTTGATAATAAAAAAAACTGAAGGTTAAAATAAACGCTATACACAATTTGAAAACTAAAATAACTGAACTTATAAAACTGAGGTGTCAAAACATCATTCTTCCTAAAAGACAAAGCAATTGCAGTTACTTATGTTGCCTTATAGCTATAGGGATTGCAGTATGACCCGAAGCCGACGGGGAAACCCGAAATCCGGTTAAGTTCGGGTCGAGTTGAATGATATCGGGTCAGGTTGGGTACCAGAGATTTTTTTCGAGGATTTTTTCGGGTTGGGTTCGGGGCAAGGTATCCCCGACCCGCCCTGATTATATATATATATATAATTTTTTATATTTTTATATTAATTATATATATAATATTTTATATTTTTTTATTAATTATATATAAAATATTTTCGGGTTCGGGTTTGGGTATAATATTTTGGGTCGGATTCGGGGATGGGGCAAAAAAAATCCCCGACGGGGCGTCCCGATAAAAAAACCCGTCGGGAATCGGGTCGGAGTCGAGGACGGGGATTCATTTTGCGTTCGGGAGCGAGCAAAACCCGACCCGTTTCCATTCCTAATAGCTACTTTCAAAAAAAATGTTGCCTTATAGCGAATGAGCACAAAGATTAGTATTTTAGCACTTAGCTGTCATATTTTTCTTTTATAGAAATTGTCATATGTAAGGAGCAAAAGTTTAATTTAAAATCAAATTTAAGGAAAGATATAATCGAAAATATTTAAAAAAATAAATTTAATATTTTTAATTAAACATAATCTAAAGTATTAATTTTTTAATATTTACTTAACTTAAATTGTTATTTTTTTAATATTTTCAGTTGACAATCGAAAATATTATATTTTCCATAACATTTTCGGTTTCAATCGAAAATGTTAAAAAATTAACATGATAACATTTTCGGTTTCTACTGAAAATATTAAAAATTTATATTTTAAGTTACGCTCAACTGAAAATATTTTTTTTAATATCTTCGGTTGTACCTTTTCTTGACCTTATTCAGTTACAATTTTTCTTAATTTTAAATTATGCTATCTACCGCTAGATTATTATTGTTTGGGTAAAAACATTCGCAAGTGACATGGAAACAATAAAAGCCCAAGAGGCCACCATCTCAGGTTTAGAAATAAACAAAACATCGTGTGTTTTAAGTTTGTGTTGGCAAATGAGAATTTCAGGGTTTCTACTTGTTTACTTGCACTCAATTCAATGCCAACATAAAAAAGCATGTCCTTGCTTTTTGTTAATTAACATTGAACTATTCCTACACGTCCTACCAGTGGCTGTGGATCTGTACTAAAAACGTCCTACACCCATTACATTCTAAAATCAAAACCCATTGCTTGTCTGCAAATCAAAATGTTCACTGCTCAATGTCGATGCAACAACCGACACTTCTAACCGCCCTGTCCACTCCTCACCAGGTTTCAATGTCACCGGCTTCTCAATTGCTGCTCCGTTCACGCATAGCATCTGTTTGTAGTCTACGTCTCCAAGATCTACCATTGATTTTGATTTCTTCTCCCATGGATTCCATACCACTGTTAACAACAGAATCACAATCTTTTTGTTATTTGTTTAGAAATTGACCGAGCATACACTCCTTTATGAAAAATCTTCATAGCTTGTCTCCTAAAAACATCCTTAAAAGTACTTGCTTACCGGCATCGGATAGTCCCTCCTTCCTGATAACATACGTTCTTTTCCTTTCGTGATCAAGTACCGCAACTACGTTTGGAGTACTGAGATAAACTCGATCCACCTGTCACTCCATTTAAAGAACATTTAAATTGTCATCGTTTAAAACTCGCCTTGCAGAATTCTCGCAAGACAAATGGCTTTGAGCATGATAGATTGTATTCCGAGGCAAACATGAACAAAGTCCTAATGCCAGAATTGCTATACCATGTTTGAAATGTTTCAATTTTCCCTAACCCAAAGGACAGTCTTAGTAGCTCTAGAGACCACAAAAACATACGTATTTGGACACTTCAAAGGAATAGAAAACTCGTGTACCTCGGACTCAAATGTTATAGCATCTCCTTGCTCGGTAAAACGTTCTTTTTGGCAAAGGTTGTCTAGGTAGTCAAGTGTCTCCAGCCCTTCAATCCTCACTTCACTGTGGACAAAGTTATGTTCATGTCAAATCCAGAAAGAACTTCTACGCGATAAAAACGGAAATTGTTTGTCAAATACAATAACACTCTAAATATACCTGACGTCGGAAACTGACAAATATGTATGATACGCAAAAGAGAAACCAAATGGCTTCCCATTGACATTCCTAATTCGTGATAATAATGTCAGACTTCCATCTGCTGCAAGCGATACTCTCAGGCGAAACTCAAAGCTGAAACGGGAAAAGAAAAGAAAATCAGCAACATATACACACCTCCAATAGATTTTTTTCAATTAAATCAACAAAGGAATTAAATATCCGAGTTCTTACCTATGTGGCCAGCATTTGAGATCTTCTTCAGACGGTTTAAGCAACAGGTCAATGAAGGATTTGCCATGGGAATCATTTGGACTCAGAGGTGAAGGATTTTCATCAATTGTCCAAATCTTATTCCTTGCAAATCCATGTTGCTCGAGCGACCCGCAGTTGCCGAACTTAACAAGCGTCCAAATGAATAACTCCAATAAGCAACAACGAATAAAATTCCATACAAGTAAATTAACCAAATGACAGAAAAGAAAAGAAAAAAGACTACCTGTGGGAAACAAATAGGGATTCCTCCTCGCACAGCTTTCGGGGGCTTAAAATTCGCCTAAGATTCATTATACAAAACATGAATCAGTTTCCGGATTCCCGTTTCACCAGGACAGAACAGTTTAACTCATGAAATGTATAGCCATAAATTGAGCCGGTTTCTCAGACAACTTATATAGAAATTAAACATCCTTCCCCTACCTTACTACTGCTAAACAGCAGTTCTTCCCCTTGTTCATTTCTCCATGAAGTTACCCGCCCTCCATGTAAGCTAACCTGTAATATTAAAACACAAAATTAACACAAAAATCAACCAGAAATTAACACAAAAAGGGGAAAAAACAAATCAGAAATCATACCCTTGCCGAAGCTCCTCGAGGGTTCCGAAGAACAATCTTATCAATTCCATTCAAATCCTTTGTAATCTCAGTTGCAGCTCTACAATCCCATACTGCAGCCGAATGCTCCATTGTCGAAATCAAAACCCCAAAATTTCTCACAAAGGTTCCGCTTTTATTGACTCAAGAATTCTAGAATTTAACCCCCAAAAAACTATTCTCTAGAATTCTTATAAACACACCGAAATGCCGACAACAATGAATTTTGACAGGCACAGAGGTCAGACCGAGAAGCTCATTAACAACACTTATCTTGTCACAAACCTCTGATCTCGTGAACTTAAAGCAAAAAACTAACTACCAAACTTCAAAAATTCCCGGTCTATGCTAACAATTACGGTTCAGATCTAAAGATCCTTACTTTTTTTTTTGCTCAAAACCAATTTTTTTGCTCAAAACCAAATTACTGCATGCTAAAATGACTGACATTGAAACCCTAAGGACTCAAAGATATAAACAGGGCCCAGATTCATAAACAAATCATGATCAAAATTTGTCATTTACACATCAAAACAAGACAACATGGGTAAGTTCCAATAAACGGTTTAAAAAAAACATGTTTAGACACTCAAACTCACAGTACTATAAACTTTTTTAACACACAAAAATAGAAGGAATAAAACCCAATTCCCAATTCAAAGAATTATGTAGAAAAAATCTAAATTTCAGAACTTTTCTTCTTTTAAACTTCAAAGCTGAAATGCTATGGGACTAATGCAATGTTTTTGTATGGAGAGAATGGGATGTTTAAATAAAGCCCTTTGCCAGAAGAAGCAATCCCATTTCCAGGTTGATTTACAACAAAAAAATTAAGGAAACAAAGAGTCAAAAACAGAGATTAATTAAGATTTACGAATGTAATTAAAAATGATTAACTAAACAGAAGACAACCTGGGGGTGGTGTTGCCTTTTGCAATGATCTAGGACATGGAGATACGAGGAGTACATGTCCTTTCCTTTGTACAAAATTAGCTGATCATATTTTCATATATATTGGGGTGAGGGGAGGTAAGGTAGTAGATGCTCCCAAAGTCAGTTTGAGAGCAACTCCCGTGAGAGACCTCCGGCAGTTAGAATTATGAATTACCCACCATTAGACTCGATTTTTTTAAATTACACTACACTTCGTTCAATTATATGTTTAGTAATAAATAGATTTTTTAAAGTTACAAATAAGATATTTAATTAAAGTATTATTATAAACATTTGTTAAATATTAATATAATATGATATAATAATAATTTGAATCTTTAATTTAATTCTAATTCAATAAATTTAATCATTCATATTTAAATTTTTTATCATTTTAGTTTTTGTTCTCCTAAAAATGTTTGCTATTCTCTCATAAATCTTATATTTTTTCTAGTAGAATAATATAATAATAACTCATTGTTGTTTTATGATAGAATGAAGTTGTCATATTTTGATCCGATGGCCTCGTTTGTTTTGATAATATAATAAAAAAATTAATGGATTTTTTTTTACTATGAAGGATTATTTTTTAAAATATTTTAAATTAAGACAAAATTAATAGAATGTATAAGCTTTGGGGGTTAAAAGTATTATTATATCACGCCACATTAGTTTTTTGTTTCAATTTTAACAATAGAATGACATGTTTATAATAAAGTTTTAATTGAGTGACATGTTTATAACTTTTTATGAAAAAAGAACATATAATTAAGTGACTTTGGGTGTAATTTACCCTATATCTTTACATTTTTCATTTCATTAAACCTTGAATAACAGACAAAGACTATGGAACAAAAATCAGTAGTAAAAAAGAAAGGCTTGATTTGATTGCAAGCTCCTTGAATTATACTCTAATAAATTATGCAACAACAAGAGTAGAGTAGACTACTCCCATAATTACATTACACTCCAAATTGCATACAAGCCTTGTTTAAAAATCCGAGTTATTTATTTATTTATAAGTAGAATAAAATAAAGTATATTTAATTATTAATAAAAATAAAAGTAAAATAAAATTCTGAATAGTTTTTTGATCCACCTAATAGAGAAGGGAACATGCGAAGGACAAAAGAAGGTGGCATCGTTGGAAGGAGCCTAGGGCTTGAAAATTTTGAAGCATGTGGGCAGCCTTAGGTTTTGGACTGTGTCTGTGCATGGATTCATGCTTTGCAATTCCCATGTGCTCCTTTCATTGTTTTATTTTTCTCTCATTTTAAAGAACGTCGACTCTGACGACGTTTCGTTTGTTTTTGGCTGAACAAGTTTGATTACTTGTTTTGTATACATTAGTTTCATAGATGTCAAATAAAACAATAAAATTTACTTCCTTTTTTTGCTTTTTATATTATAAATTTGGGAAATGCATGGGATTACTAGGACTCAAATCTTCATCTTCAACCTCAATATTCAATATACGATTATGTTAGCTATATTCTTCATTTAATATTATGAGCGATTATAAAGTAATATTTGTTCATAATTTTTTCTAACCATTGACAACACACTCTTTGCAGACGTAGCTGTTCAAATCTAGGACCTTAAGAGATAACAACACTTCTTTTAACCAATGAGGTTACTCAAGGGGTTCACATTGACTATAATTTTATATAAATATAATAAAAGAAAATGTTTAATTACCTTAATTTTTTTAATAGAAACGACTAGTTTTATTGAACAACGAGAAAATATCCAAAATGACAATGAAAGGCTTACAATTATAAACGTAAATCAAACACATAATTAGGAAATTTTCTTATAACCATTACAAAATAAATTAGTCAACTGAGATCAAACAAGGATCATACAAGAAAAAAAGTACAAACCCAACAAAAGACTCGAACAAAATATTGATTCGAACATATCTGATTGTATCGTAAATGAACCACAATAGGGGATGAACTATTGAAAGACTATCGACAAACGTAAATTAGAATCGAGCGTCGTGAGACAATTATCTCTGATGATAAACCACATATTCAAATCTATTTTGATAGTCCAAAGCATGAAAGATCAATATGATAATAAATAAGTGTTATCTTGATCAGTTAAAACGATGTGAAATCTAATCCTAAGAAAATTAAACAAAAAGAACGGCGAAATGATTGATAAAAAAACATGCTAAAAGTAAAAAATAAGTGCTATAAAAATAGAGAAATATGTGTTGTAAAAACCGAATTATTAAAATTTAAGATATGTATAAAAAAGATATACGAGTGACAAACAATCCTAAACTGATGTCGCCGTTTATTAACAAAGATAAAAGAAATGAGCAAGCATTCTGCTCAAAAGTTTTAAGAGAGAATGTAAATTTTCTTATTAATTATCTTAATTTTAAAATTGAGTAAACTAATTGATATTTTAGAGTAATAAAGATTAATGTCATTTATATTTTATCATTGTTTGTTAACGTGATACATGTCTTGCAACATGTCTCGTTCATGTACTTTATTTCTATATTTTACTTGGATTTGGAGATAGGGAACCAACCAATCATACCCCTAACCCTGTCCACGTGTCCTTCATCTTCTTCACTGTTTCTTGTACAGCAACTCCATTCTTTGTTCTTTTATCGCCAAGGATAGGATTTGCTAGCGTTGCAAGCGCCACATATTTCCAGAACAGCGCAAATTAATTTTTAGAAATGGCGGCAGCTGCATCAGCATCATCCTCCATGGTGGCCACCGCCGTTTTTGGTTCCACGTTTTCCGACCGTGGTTAGAACTACCCGCTGCAGTGCCTTGCCGCCCCTCCCCCCTCGCGTTTCCCCCGCTTCCTTTTCCTCTTCCGTTAAGCTAATTCCAGGTAATCTGCTGTTTAGATTACCGTCCAGCTCAGTTGGTAGAAATTTTGTGATCGTTAGATCGAGTCCGGTCAATTTATAATTCTGACTGTCGGAAGTATTCTACGAAAATTATTCTCAACTAGACTTGGGCATATTACTATCTTACCTCCCCTCACCCCATTACATATGAAATGAGAATAACGTCAGTTAATTTTTTTCCTTTGCCCTATTTGAAAAATTAAACATTTTTTTTTATTTCGAAAAAATAGTATCAACATCTTGTAGCCTGGAAATTGGAGTTGAGTTTTCAATACATGGGATAGAGAAAACATTGGCATACATTGTGAGTTCCAAGTCTCAAACAATCTCTTTTTCTTTCTTCACAAATTGCTTACAGGGAGAACTTTAGATAAACGGTTTTATTGTTCTTTCTTCCTAATGCATTCAGCATAAATAAGCCTTGCATTCTGTTTTGTTTTGTTTTGTTTTGTTTTGGTTGTTCCCGTCTTTCTTTCTTCTTCCATATATGTATGCCTTTGCTTATTATTTAAATCCTAGTCCACTTTTGGATTCCCTAAACAGAATCCAAACGGTTTTCTCTGCTTCAGACAAAAGCCTCAGAGGAGACCTCTGTTGATGCTGGGGACCTTTTCACTGACTTGAAGGAGAAGGTAAGAAAATGGATTTATTACTTAACTATCATCGACTCCGATCTTTCCGTCTTCTAAATAAGCCAATTCTCGATCAAGTTTTTAATCCGACTGGAGCACCCTTAAAAGGTTGCATCTTTTAGCTCTAATTTGAACTTCAAAATCTTGCTTTAAAGGCTTCTTAGTGCTGAACTGACTTGGCTTTCTTCCCATGTTTACTAGTGGGATAAAGTTGAGAACAAGTCCACAGTTCTTCTTTATGGTGGTGGGGCTATAGTTTCTGTTTGGCTATCATCCATTCTCGTTGGTGCCATTAACTCGGTCCCTTTGGTAAGTGAACTCTTAACACTACAATTCAGCACTCTTAAGACGGGGGACTATACTCGGCAAATGAATTCGCTACAATGTATTATCTCTTTCGATTAAGTTGCTTATCCAATCTGAAACAATTTTCTGTGCTAACCAGCTTCCAAAGATAATGGAGTTGGTAGGACTTGGATACACAGAATGGTTTATCTACAGATACCTTCTCTTCAAGGTAAGAGATTCACTTCGACTATAGGGTCTCATGAATCTTAATAGCTCATAGTCTTGTTCTTTTTGGGTGAGCCATCCTGCATCAATCATCATTCATATGCCTCAAAGAGTTAAATTGACATTCTAAGAAAGAACTTGCAAGTGCATGAAGAGAGAAGTTTGAAAGTAGCTTACTTTACAACTGAAATCTTAAGATTTTCAGGCTATTTCCACAGTGCTAACACCAGATGCTTATTTCCTCAGTCAAGAAGGAAAGAACTAGCCACGGATATCGAGGCACTGAAGAGTAAGATTGCTGGAATTGAATAGATGCACAGCAATGGCATGTTCATATATTCGGTATTATTATCTTTTTGGTCCTTTCTGTAACATGTGAAAGAGACATCTATATCCTGTAATTATAAGATTGCCTTGTATGAATCCTTGTCACCTTTTTATT